TTTTAAATTATAAGAATGAAATAAAATAGGGAGCTCATTTTCTGGTTTATAGCAGAAAATGAGACCTAAGAATAAACTGGTCATCTGGGTATCAGCATGAAATGTTTCAGAAAGGGACATGTCTCTCTTTCTTCTTCTCCTCATGTTTTATTTTAAATGAATATACATGATAGAACAAGGAATTTGTGAATGTGAAAAAAGTTCCAGTTTGTTGAAAGAATCACTACAAATTTTACCTGATAAATGATTATTGAAAACCCAAGAGATATTTCAAATAATAAGACAACTTTGGTAAATAAGTGTCTGTATTTTCTACAAGAAAGTTATTATTTTAACATGTTGTTTCCATTATTTTCCGGCAGAATAAGAGACTGCCTGAATACTAAATAACATCAATTTGGTCTGGTATTTTCCAACAGATGTATTTGAAAGGCAAACATTACATAAACCCATACATATCAGTGGAAGATGAGAAGAATGATGCTTTGGGCAATCTGATGGTATCCTCTAATATACTAAGTTGTTTGTATCTCTTTTTTGGTTATCTTTATGTCCCAATTATTACACCCATTAGTGCCCTTAGGATAAAGCACTGCAAAACAAAACACAACAAAGACCTGTCAGTCTGAAAATGGCAGACAGGTCTTTGAGGTTATAGATGGATTTATTGGTTGTCTGTTTCTAAATTCTTCAAAAGTACCTGAGAAATTTACTGCCTGAAAAATGTTGAGGACTGAGCACCTGGAGGCCTTTAATAATGATGATGGTAGGAAAACTATGGAGTTAATTTTCAATGTGAATTATATTGAGTACTCAGGCCCAGAATGAAACTCCTCTGGTGAAAGAAAAGGAAATATAACATTTCCTAAAGAGGTTATAAAATGTTTCTTAGATTCTATGTGTAAGAGGAATCAACAACTGTAAGAAATAACGCCTCATTCAGACTCCAGTGAACAATATGAAATACATCTCAATACCTATTTTGTGTTTTCATTTTTATACATGATATGATAATTTAAAGAACTTACATAACAGGTTTTTTATTATTTTTTGATAGACAGTATGGTCCTCTCTTGCACTAAAAATAATCTGATTTTGTGACTCTATTAAATAAAAATAGAATGCGTCATTCAAAATTTCTAACTAAAATAAATGCGTTTTTGTGTCCACACATGGCTATTTCATGGCAAATGCTTGAATGACCATTCTACCATATATTACTTTTTATTCAATAACATTAATTGAACTTCTATGTACTAAGCAGGGTACTAGGAGCAAATGGTTAAAAGGTGATAAACATATATGTGGCTTCTTTATGTGTGATTTTTTGGTGCTCAGGATGTTTTAAGAGAGACCAATAAATAAGAACTAAACAAGCAATCATGATAGTGTGTTAAATGCTCTAACAGGAGAAGCACCTATTTCTGGTTGAATTAAACCATGTGATTTTTTTCAAAGCACTTAATCTCTCAAAGGCTTAACTACTTTATCCATAAAGTAGGGATTATAATTTATTGCCTGGGTTAAAAAAAAAAAAAAGTGAAGCAGATGCTTTCCAGGGACCTCTTTCCATCTTAACATTTATGATTTGATGAAATAATAATTTCTTAGAAATTGTTTAAAATATAAAACATATGCCAAACACCCACCTCCCCACAAATCACAGCAAAAAATAATCAAGGACACAGAGTCTGACACTATGACCTTGTTTTTCCTTTATAATTTATCTGGGAGAGGTCTGTTTGTCATATAGAGATTCACAGTAAAAATGTAGAGTTAGATTGGTAATGTTAATTTGCCATAGCATTTTAGTTTTACTGGCTGACTCCATGGTTATCCTGGTTCTAGTTACCAGATGAAGCTAAAGTTTCCCCTTTTGTGGATAAGCAGTAGGTATATTTTAATATAACAATATTTCTTATTAGTATTTAATATTAGTATTCCTCTGAACAGATTCCATAAAGCAGTAAAAGAAATTACTGGAAAAAATTAATAGATTTCTCTAGGTCATGAATATCATATGAAGCTTTCAAAACAGTATCAGGAAAGAAAGCTGATATTAAAAAGGAATTGGATACACTTCCAAAGAAGGTACTAATAACTGACATTGGAATATTTGACATTTTAGCACATATCAGACTTGGTATCAGAGTTTGCAGAATATGGCACTAGTTCTGTGCATTTGCCGTGTCTTCAAATAAAAGATAATACATGAATGACAACTGCCAATATGTTACTGCATTTTTGTATTTTAAATTTTCTCATTTACATTTTTCTTCCCATGTTTAATTTAAACAATATTTGAGGATATAATTTTAAAATCCACCCCCAAGTAGGCTAGAATGTCATGTATCTAGAATGATTGACAAGAATTGCAATATTACTGAGACAGAAGAACACTGGCTAGTCAAAGTCAATTTTGAAGTTAATTTTAAAAATATATTAATTTTCCTACATAGGGATGAGATCATTCAAGTTAGTAATGTGTATCATTATCACCATCATTATTATAGGAATAAAGAAATTGGAGTAGATGACAACTTAGGTCATTTCAAGTGATAATAGCTTTTGGTAGTTATAACTTTATCATAATGCTATAAATTAAATGAAATACTGTATGTAACGATGATTTGAAAATTATAGTGTTCTGTATAAAAGTATATTTCAGGCCAACTGATGGCCAGCTGCTAGTTGATCAGTTAATTCAAATGAATGATCAATTCAGTCTCTTAAAACAGCTTTACTTCTTTTAAAAAAATGGTTGGATATGTTACTGTATTGACTGATTGTTAAGACAGTGTTAGGGTTCTGTTATCACATTATTTTTGAGGTCAGAGCTGAAGTCTTATAGGTCAGAGTCTGAAGAAGCTAAGCAGCAGCATCCCTAAGTGTTCTTTGGTTAGACAAACCTGCCTACAGACGCCTTATGTAACATGGGGTTATATCCCTATAAGTCCATTGCTAACTTGAAAAGATCTTAAGTCAAACTCATAAGTTGAGGACCACCTGTACTACAGAATGGTTTGAAATGGATGTGAAAGAACTAGTGACCCAAACACGATGGCATTTTCCTTCTGAATGAAGAAAAAAGAGAATCCATAAAAGAATGGCAGTTCAGGGTAGGGAGACTGTTGGTCCATGGTTATGTTGGGAATATATTTGGGAATCTAGCTGTACCACTCAGGGAATCATTTAACTAAACAAACGATTGCTACCTTTCCCTCAGATGTTTATCAGAAGGATAAAAGCTGTCATTTATTAAGCATCTACTTTGTATCAGACACCTGCTTATGTGTTATATTACTTATCAATTTACTTAACAAATATGTGCCTATAATGTGAAAGGCACTGTTCATAGCATTGAAAACACAGCAATGATGGAAATAAACACTATTTCATTTTCATGGTGCTTACAATCAAGAGGAACTGGAGGCTTATAAAAAAGGAAAATTAAGGTAATTTCTGATGTCATCAGTGGTAAGGGGAAATAATACTACATAATGCTGTAGAATGACCAGGTCAGCATGGATCAGTGCAGTCAGAAGGTCACATCTTATGCAGAGCTGAGGAATGAAGAAAGAGTAGAGTAATACTGTTAAAACAAAACAAAACAAAAAAGAAGAATTAAATTGCATCTAATTTTGCTGCAGTTCCATGATGAGGGCAGAAAAAGTGTCATCAGATTTAATAAAACTGGAGATCATGGCAAATCATATTTGAGAAGATATGATTATAATTGAAATGGCTGAGAATGAAGATATGGAAGTAGAGACAGTGTACAGAAACTCTCAGTTAGTTTGGCTATAAAATAAAACTGGTAGTAGAAGGAGAGAAATTGGTGCCCAAGAAGTAGCATTTTAATATTGTGATATTAGAGTAGAATGATAGGCATAATCTTGAAGTATTAATTATACAGATGAAGATAATAATGCAAAAATAGCAATGATGGCTTATAATATGCAAGATATTTTTCTAAGGGCTTTACCTGAATCCCCACAACATCCTTTCAAGAAAGGTTACTATATTGCATCTTGTTTTACAGAAGAGAAATCTGGAAGAGTGAGATGGATGGCTTTTCAAGGTTTTATACACAGTACATGGCAAAGTAGCGATTTAAACTCACAACATTTGAGTATTCACATGCAAATCACCCTAAATATAAAAACCTCCTCTCATAGATTACTGCAAAATCAACAAACACAATATCTCTAAAGTTATCCAGCACTGCATTTGTTTCAGGGTGAAGAAAAGGGGAAGTAAACAAAGGAAATCATTACATAAAAATTGCCAGCCCTAATGTACACACCTGGTTATATTTCAGGAAGCCTGTAAGGTCTTTTGAATTGAAAGCTCCCTATTTTTTAGTTTTGTGGCTGTGGCCAAGTTCCAACATTTCTGAGCATTAGTTTTCATTTTATAAAATGGGGACATTAATTATTCTTTTAGTGGATTTTTGAGAAGTAAACTGTTATATATGTACAGGTGTTTTCTTGGCTATAATGTTATACTTCAGTAACATAATGGTTTTTACTGTGATTACTATTGTTATGGTTGAGTGCTGGAGTATGGCAGCCATTTCTGAATTTTACCTCTTTTGCAGGATATTCCTTCATTCCCTTGTTGGAGAAAAAGAAAACAGGATCTGACACCAATGCAATAAGTCACCTGATTATCTTTCCTTCTGTAGGTTGGGCTCTGCTAACAGGAGGCATAAGTAAGAGAGTAGGAGTTAGAGATAGAAGATAATCTCTCCTGCCTGGCAGTTTTGAAATAGCTCTCTAGTTTTTTACAAAAAGATAGGTCCTGTATGAATGCATCTCAGGTTCAGTTAATCGTTCCCATCTCTTTCTCCTTTAAGATGAAGGGTGGGAAGTGTTCATCTCACAAAGGGGACTGTCCACTTTTAGCTGGGGCAATCTTGGCCTTTCATACCTGTGCTTGCTCTTGACACGAGAAGTTCCCTCCCCCCAGGTGATTTTCCTCCAAGACATGAGGACAAATATCTCTCCATTTTACCATTATGAAATCTATAATTAAAAAAAAAAAAAAAAGTTGGCCAGGCGCGCTGGCTCATGCCTGTAATCCCAACACTTTGGGAGGCCGAGGCAGGTGGATCACGAGGTCAAGAGATTGAGATCATCCTGGCCAAAATGGTGAAACCCCGTCTCTACTAAAAATACAAAAAAAATTAGATGGGCGTGGTGGCACGCGACTGCAGTCCCAGCCACTTTGGAGGCTGAGGCAGGAGAATTGCTTGAACCCGGGAGGAGAAGGTTGAGGAGGAGGTTGCAGTGAGCTGAGGTCACCCCACTGCACTCCAGCCTGGCGCCTGGTGACGGAGTGAGACTCTGTCTCAAAAAAAAAAAAAAATAGTTTAGATGCCTTCTCCATTTGAGGGAAAAAGGGTGCTTTTTATTGTATAAAGCAGTGTCTTATGTATTTTGATATACCATTGTTTGAACTTCTGTCTTTAGCTGACAGATTCTCAAATATCCTTGATTTTGGATGTTCAGTAGATTTGTGAGAGGGGTTTCTGGGAAGACTCTCTTTTTGCCCTAGCAAAAAAGCAAAATCAATGTTTGGGTGACTGTGTAAAGCCCAATGTATAAGAACATCTTTTCGTCCAGGTTTTATTTCTGCTTTTTATTGAAGACAAACACGCACCAAAAAGCAAAACAAAAGTTTTGTGAGAAACTAATTTTCTTTGGCAAGAGTATTGCTTAATATTTTGGCCTCTGAAAGTTACCCAGGCTGGTACTTGGACTCCTGTGCTAATTGTTCAGCTTACATATCATTCTATAGAGACTGTTTATTCTGTACCAAGCTGATTTCAAAGTGCTGCACTGAAAATAAACTGGTTACTGTTTTTCTTCATAAAGTTCTGCATTTGGCATCTTCACTCTTTCCAAAACGTATCTGTACATCAGAAATGTCACTATTCCAAGTGTCTTTTTAGTGTGGCTTTAGTATGGCTTCTTTTTAATATTGTACATACATTGTATCTTTGTTTTATGGTAATAAATAATAAAAATGTAGACTTTATATTTTGTACAAAATGTCCTACATACATAATTTTAAAAGTTCCTAGAAACAGCAATTATAGGTATGTGGCACAATTATTTTTCTTTAGAAAATATCTGTAACTTTATGCTTTAGTGAAATGCTAAGTACCTACATATTTTTTAACATTTTGTAAATCAAAACTTTTTTGTTTTGACATTGTTTATGAAGAGAAACTTCATACACTTGCCATTATAATATGCTCTTTCATCTAATTTTCAAAAACCCCGAAACAGTGTATCATATGGACTAAAGAACATGTGAATTAAAAAAAAAAAAAGATGAAGTGTGGGGATGTCTTTCTACTTATTGGTTCCCTGTGCCTGTTTTTACCTCAGTCTCTTCATTAAACACTCTTCAATTACCCTTTCTGACTGCACCAAGTATTTGTTTGTTTGTTTTTAATTTTTGCCTAGATCTTGTCTGATAATCTTGTTCATAAAAGACTTTCGCTGTAGATATTCTCAAGGCCTTCTTGTTTTTCTTTCCTTTTTGTTTTTTCCTGTAGTGGTTTTTAATCTTTTTTCTATGGCTTCTTTTAAGAACCATCTGCCGAGAACATTTTTGCATTTTTAGCGTTGATTCCATAAAAAAAAAAAAAAAAAATCGCTTTTCACAAGAAGACGCCGAAAGTGAAGAAGGAAGCTCCTGCCCCTCCTGAAGCCGAAGCCAAAGCGAAGGCTTTAAAGGCCAAGAAGGCAGTGTTGAAAGGCGTCCACAGCCACAAAGAAAAGATCCGCATGTCACCCACCTTCCGGCAGCCCAAGACACTGCGACTCCAGAGGCAGCACAAATATCCTTGGAAGAGCGCCCCCAGGAGAAGCAAACTGGACCACTATGCTATCATCACATTTCCACTAACCACTGAGTCCACCATGAAGAAGAACACAACACACTTGTGGTCCTTGTGGATGTGAAAGCCAACAAGCACCAGATCAAACAGGCTGTGAAGAAGCTCTGTGACATGGATGTGGCCAAGGTCAGCACCCTGATTGGGCCTGTTGGAGAGAAGAAGGCATATGTTCCACTGGCTCCTGATCACGATGCTTTGGAGGTTGACAACAAAACTGGGATCATCTAAACTGAGTCCAGCTGGCTAATTCTAAATATATCTTTCCACCATAAAAAGAAAAATCAAAGTCATGCAAAACTGTCAACCATAACTTTTGATAAGCATGAAAAAGCCAATATTAAAATCTAGGTTAGGTATAGACAAAAGTAATCAACAGTATTAATTATACTTGTTGTAAAGATCTTCTAGATTTTGTGTCCTGTTTCATTATATCCTCAGGTAAGCAGAAGGCTTAAATGCTTACATGGTTAAAATTACCAGATTTCCTTAGTGAATTGTTTTTTAAAACATATTTAATAAAACCCAATATAAATTATTCTTCTATATTATATACTAAAATATAATATTTTATATTTAATGATATATTAATATGTTAAATATGTTTAATTATTAGTTAATATTTCTATTGAATATATACTGTTATTTATTACATTCTTCTTTTATATTTAACCAAAGTAAAATGAATATTTTACTATCATGTGAAGTAGGACTCGTGTCATTTTTTCAAAAGTAATTATAATTGTCTTACTATAATTTATTTAATAGTTTATGTTTTCTCCACTTTGTTTGCAATATCAGCTCTATCATAAACTACATTTCCATATGCCTTTTCTTTCTCCTTCCTTCCTTCCTTCCTTCCTTCCTTCCTTCCTTCCTTCCTTCCTTCCTTCCTTCCTTCCTTCCTTCC